TAAGTCCGCTGACATACCGCTGTGCCACGGGGGGGGGGGGGGGGGCGAGTCATAGACAAGATAAGTGATTTTTTGGCGTTTTTAAGATTTTAAACATTCGTTTGATAGCGAGAACGTTTGATAAAAAATTTCATCTTATACTTTTATAATATAAAAGTGGACTAAATTGTCCTTTGTTAGGTTGTTTGAACTTGACATAAAGTTTCCTTTGCGAAATTTGGCGTCAATTAATTAACTACATTATTGCCCCGGTGGGTCAGCGGTAAATATACAGACTTAAAATGTTAAAATCTCGGGTTCGTTTCCTCTCGGCATACAGAGCGCAACAAACCTACTGTGTATCTTTGCGCTAAAATAACAACAAAATTGAGTCTACATAAAGTGGAATAACTAATGACTATTTTCGTTAAATTATATCAAGTACAAACTGTTACCCAATTTGAACATAGTAGGTGTGAGTTATTTTGTTCGTTATTAATCACCAAAGCAACACAGTGGACTATCTGTGCTCTACTCACCGCGGGTATCAAAACCCGAATTTTAGCGATGTAAGCTGCAAGACTTACCGCTGAACCCCTGAGGGATATGTGTTTGTTTGTTTGTAGTTAAGCACAACGGCTATCCGTGCTCTGCCCATCAGGGGTATCAAAACCTGGTTTTAGCGTTATATGTCCGCAGATTTATCGCTGAGACACTGGGGGCGATAGGTGCGAGTTGAAAAATAGTTTGGTTTGTTTTGAATTTTGCGCAAAGCTAAACGAGGGCTATCTGCGCTAGCCGTCCATAATTTAACAGTGAAAGACTAGAGGGAAGACAGCTAGTCGTCACCGCCCACCGCCAACTCTTAGGCTACTCTTTTACCAACGAATAGTGGGATTGACTGTCGCATTATAACGCTTCCACGATTGAAAGGACGATCATGTTCGGCGAGACGGGAATTGGAATCCGCTACCTGCAGACCGCAAGTCGAGCGCCCTAACTATACACCTGGAAAAAAGTTAAGCACCCCCGCGTTTTTTTCAAGTGATTCAGATTCAACGTTCTTGTGACTGATTATAAATTACCATTCAATCTA